TAAAGTACTGTGTGGGATTAAAAGCTAGACTTTAAATGGTGTCAGCTAACATAAGAACTTCCGATTTACATTAGCAATGTAAGAAATGTCTTTGCAGTTTTAGTTCATAACATTAGTTCTGTGATGTGGTTTTCTGTGAGAAAGTTCAGTTCTTTGTTAATACAGTTCATAACAAGTTCAGAACGTGGCTAATATGGGAGTTCTGAAAATAAATTTCTTAGCATGTTTCAACCATGATGTGTGCGATAATGGAAAGAACAAATGGACAGAGGGCAAAAAGGCAAGATCAAGAAAAGAGTTGGGATTTAAAGAAGCTTTGTTAAGAAAATATTCATGCATTTGTGGCCAGGAATATGATTGTTTATATCTTCCTAGATGATGTTACAGATAACTTCAACAGGAGTAAAGAAATGGGAATAGGTGTATAAACAGCAATTTTTTCACTGAAGCTAAAACCAACCCTTGTGTATAGTAACAGAGGAAACAAAGAAAACCCCAAACCTAAAAATTTTAGCTGGTTCTAGCCCTGTGGAATGACTGACTCATAAGGTCTGGCACTGTGCTGCTCTGCAAGACCCACTTTCAGAAGCAGTGGAGAGGCCAGGTTATCGATTTTATCTGTCACCTCTTAGAAAGAAGGAACTCTGCTGCAATTTTGTTAATTTTCAATAGCTGGATGGTACAGAAGTAGCATTTAATAATGATATCTCATCAGAGAAAACACTGTTCAATGTAATCTCTTCCCTGAGGGTGCACATGCAAGCACTGTCGGTAGGAATGTGCTACATGCAAAAGTAGAAGCTTCCAGCACTGAGTGTATAAGGGCTCAGCTGAGCTGGTGGTTTTGTGTTCTTGGCAGTCCTGCTTGGTACCTGAGCTCTTGCCTCTATCTAGTGAGGAAACACAGAGAAAGAAGTTTGAGGTAGGTTTTTCTTTTCTTCAGAAATATCACCTAGTGCTTTGTAACAGAATGCTAAACAACTGTTATGTCTCTCCTGGGATCTCTCACTAGACAGTTACTGAAATTTTATTCTTCAGCGGGACATTTACATTGATGGACTTACACCTTTTCAGTGCCCAGGATAGCATAAGTAAGTTGGTAGTCTGCTTTCAGATGGAATGAAAGCAACCACACAGACATTTAATTTCTCCTTGATGATGATCAGATTTTAACTAGCAATGACAAAGCTGACTTTCAGCAGTTGGCTCTTCCTCATTAGTTGCATCACAGTTCTGTCTGCCATTCACATGCACCCGTTGCCCTATGCCGTGTGTTATGTGCACCATGGGTGCTGGTTATGAAGTGCCTGATGAACTTGGGCGGGAAGCCTCCTCAGGAGCTGAAACCTGTGGCAACAGTCTGGTTTTGTCCTGCTTCACCCTCTACATAGGAAACCATAAGAAAAGTGTTTATTCTTATTCAGTGCTGCTGTTTTCCCTTAGTCTTGTGGTAATATACAAAGTAGATAGAGCAGGTTGGGGAAGCAGGTATGTGGGCAAGGAACAGCTTTGAAACTTTTGACATTCTGAGTGGGAAAAATAGACTTTTACCTAAAGTGATATTCATTGTGATGATGTGCAAGAGTTTTTCCCCTTTGGTGCTGTTAACTTTATATAGGAAAGATCCCAGGAGAGTATCAGTGCCAATGCTGGCAAGTTTGAGAGGCTTTCGTAGACCTCTTATTTCCCAGAAATCTGTGAAATTTCTGGCTGGTCCATCCCTTTGTAGCCTAAGCCTTTCCTAAGAAATCCAGCAATTTTCCACTTGAAAATAGCTATTGGTAAAATCACACACTACTTTCATATAAGATTAAGGGTTTGACAAGGGTAGTGGGAACAAAGAAATTCCAAATTTAGTCTGCTCCATATTTAACCCCCCCTTCCCAGCCCCCTGTTACACAATAGCAAGCTTTAATGCAAGTAGGTTGTTGATATACTTCCAAAAAGAATTCCAGTTAACTGAGAGATGGGATTAAGTGGATTAAATAGCCTCCTCATTTTTCAGTGAAAAGAGAAGAAAAAAGTTCAGTTGAACGGGCACGTACAAATGCAAACTTAAATGATTTTGGGCTAGATTAGCCTTCCAAACGACCTCAGATCGCCTTACAAAGTAACGTGCCATGTCTTGGCAAGGTTCTGCCTGTTGGGCATGCATGCATGCCAACTTGCACGTGCAGGGCTGTGAGTATGTGGAATTTGCACTGTAGCCACAGCCATTTCAGCAGACTATGACCATGACCATGGTCTGGGAGGTAGGCTATCAGTTGGGTAGACCAGTTGAAAGAATATAAAGCAGTGTCCTGTGGCAAGTCTGTTTACATTTGGTGTAAAACTGATGTGTCCTACTCAGCCAGACCCAAGCCCTGGGAGAGCCTGAGAGCCTCCAGTCCACCAGCCTGCTCCTACACAAGCATCTTTGATGGCCTTTTCCATTTTGCCACTGTTTTCTGATTACTAGGTGTTACGTTTTCTCCCTCAGCACAGACACTTGACATGGTATGAAAACCAGCATCTTCCTGCTTTTGAGTCTTGCATTTCTTTTACTGAGAATTTTTAAGGCATTGGCTTTTGCAAACTATATGCAAAGCCTCCCTAATTTACTCTTCCTTATAATGAAAATTGACTTCTCAACCCTGCTCATCATGTCTTACTTTCATTTTTATGACCCCAAAGGCAGGAAATAGCTATAAGTTCCACCTTAAGGTCTCTCAGCAGCTGATAAGTCGATGTGTGACAGATAATTACTGGAGTCATGACTGGGATCATCATCACTTGGATGTGGTCAGCATGGCTCCACAGCAAACCTGTCTCCATCTGGTCATTTCATGGCATCTTTTATAATTCTTTATGTTGTAAATCTTATTGGTCAATTGTTCAAAAGGCACCAGTAGTGGAGTTTTTTTATGTGTTACTAATTTGTCACCTTCATCCAGAAGACCCATTCTGTGGAAAGGTAGAGATACTGCCGTATATTTTTTATCATAATAACAAGGGGAGGGGAGGGTGAAGGACGGGGCAAGATTAGTGGTAGCAAATGAAAATTGTCAGGAATCCTTAAAACTCGGGGGGATGGGGGGCACATTAAGAGGCTGAAGACTAATGCATCCCAGATCTCACTTATGCATTCAGTCTAACTGGTCTTAAGTATGAGCAATGGAGTAATTTTATATTGTGTGTATGTTTTCCCTTTAAAAGCAGACTTGTTGCTGTCTTTGATTTCTATATTAATTTGGAAAGCGTGCACAAATAGTAAAATTTGTTTCATATTTGTTTCAAATTCAAATTAAATCCCTTCACCCCCAACCAAAAATTTGCAAGAGAAAAAAAAAAGGGGGAAGTTAGTGACCTTGTCATGACTGGATCTCGTTCTGATCAACAGCCAACTCTTTTTAGCATTGCGAGGAAGTAAAAAGAATTAAAACTTTCTCTGATTACCACTGGGATAGCAGTATTCTTCTCTTTCCTCTACCTGCCAGGAAATGCTTCAAAGCAGCCATTAATTCAGGTAGTGTAACTCTTATCTCTTTTTGCTGGCTAGCTTGCATCTTTTAATTTACTTTAACACTTGGGCCTGTGTCCCTGCCACCTGATTTTATTCACCTGAGACACACGTCTTTGGAGGGTAGTAAATCATTGCTTCCTGTAGAGCGGCAATGAGGCCTGCCTAAGATAAGAGTTATCTCCTTGCCATAGCCCTCTTCTTACTTTTTCTCCATCTCCATTGACTATGTAGGGTGAATTTGTTTCTAGCCTGGTGTAACAGATTAGATAAGGAATATAAGTACCTAAAATTAGTACCTGTTCTTTTTTTTTTTTTAAACTGTAAGTCAACCAACTAAAGCAAAGGTAAAAGGAGAAGACAGTGAAAAAATGAGTTAGCTGCTTAGCCATAGTGGGTACTTAAGGGTTTGCCTAACAATTATGTCTTTGAAAAGTCTGCCATCAAGTAAAGTGATGCTGCACTGTGCACAACCTGTGCAAAAGTTAGCAAACATTTGGAATGTGTTTGGAAGATTAATAACATCATAATTTTCCTCACCCTGTGGACTTTTTCCTTCTCCCCCCCCCCCCCCATAAAGCAGTGCACTAGGGACTCATCAGGTTGTGCATTAGATAATTGAGTTGTTATGCCAACAGGCTGTGCTGAAAGGTGTTACATCAGTGGTTTCTTTTTCATCCCACTGTGCTTTGATCTCATGCTATAAAGCAGAAGATCTAACAGTGGAAACTTTTGAAGATGACAGATGCATTTCGCTAATCCACTTTTCATAATCCGTACGAAAAATGTCTGTCCTTATCAGTCAGGAAAGATTTAATAGCTGTTGTCTCTAGAAAGTCTCATATTATCAGAATAGCAAACTGTGGAATTACTGCTAGGAAATATTTTACTAGCATTATTTGAAATGCATATGCTTTAGAATAGATGAATAGTGGTGCTTCTTTGTTAACCAGGCTTTGTTTGTTGAATTTTCTTCCTAAAATGCAAAACTCGGAAGAAAGCACTGTGCAGTGGTGAATATTTGCTGTCCTTATTGGTGTTAATTGCCCTGCTTTCATTTCATGTTATGGGAATTCACTGAAACAGTCAATCCAAATATATTAATTCCAAATATTATATGGTCCTGAAATAAATAATTAAAAACTCTTGGCTCACAAGGTGTAGAGTATTGTAGCTGATGGAACTTCTGCAGCAATAAGCAGTGTGTAGAATACTGTATGCAGATTTTGGGGCAATAAAATGTGGTATCTTCTAGGAAAGAACACATGCCTGTGCTTGTCCCTGGATGAAATTCACACTTATATCATCCAGATGAAGTCAGTAAAGTTACTGCAGTTGCCCAGGATTTCATCCAGCACAATCTTGCCCAATATATGTTTCTTTAGTTGAGCTCCCCACGTCTCTGGAAAACCTGGCTTACAGAAAATTGCCAGCAATGTTTAGGATTTTAAAAACTATTTGCCAGGTCTGATTTGCATTTTATCTCTTTTCTTTACAATAGCTTTGGGGCAGATCATGCTCTATGTCGATGGCATGAATGGAGTAATAAATCATAATGAAACCATCCAGTGGCTGTACACACTTATTGGGTCGAAGGTAAGACACTCTCCAAAATTCTCTTTTATATGATTTTGCTGTTCTTTAAATGCATTTTATTTGTATTACATATGCATTTAGGGTAGAAACAGACTGCCTTGAGATTCTAAATGAATACATAACACTCTTCATGGAAACCAGAGCACACTGAGCTGTTACTTCTTTTTGACCCCTTTTATACTCTTTTGTGCTTTTGGCACATACTCTACTTTTAGAAGCAAATATACCTAAGATGCCCTCATTACTGTCTGTGCTGCCATTAGAGTTGCCCATGGAACAGATTTTTTTAGTCTTGCAGTTGTCATTCCCAAGACATTCTTTGGAACCATTTTTTTGGGGTGTTTTTTTTTCACCTTTCTATTTTATGAATGCAAATTCTTTTCTACAGTTTCACCATTCTATACTGGTCAACTTTGTTGAGCACTGAGGGAGGACAATTCAGAGTGACTTCCTCTTTGGAACAGAACAGAGAAGGATAGGCTTCCTTCTTAGACCAGAACAGAATTAGATAGAATAATTCAGTTGGAAGGGATCCACACCTATGATGTAGTCCAACTGCCTGACCAGTTCAGGGCTGACCAAAAGTCAAAGCATGTTAATCAAGAGCATTGTCCAAATGCCTTTTAAACACTGAGAGGCTTGAGGCATCGTCCACGTGTCTAGGAAGCCTGCTGCAGTGTTTGACCACCCTCTCAGTAAAGAAATGCTTCTTAATGTCTTCTAGAAGACAAAGTCTGGTACCTGTCTACAGGAGAATATTTGTTGGTCCCTACCTACAAGGAGGCAAAAGCTGAAGATCAGAATATATGCCACTTGAGTTTGTCTTCTCTAGTGCTGCAGTGATTTATATAGTGCACAACCCACTTTGAAGGTCATCTTTGCTCGAAGTCAAGAAGAAAGCAGAATACAAAATCTGCTGCTGCACCATCTTGGAGGGCCATAGGGCAGGTAAAACCACAAATACACCATTCTCCAGTCTGTTGGCTCTGCAGCTTTAGAAAGTTTAAGGCCTTCAGGGACTGCCGCTGCTCTTGTCACGTAGACCTGCTTGGGATAGATCTGTGGGAACCAATAGACAGAACGTGGTATGTTAGCTATTAGTAGCAGCTCAAAAATTGCTAAGAAATTTCCAGAAATGTTTCCTCAAGTGGCTGAGTAGCAGAAAGTTGCTGTTGGATAGTGTAGTGACACAGAGGTGCTGCTGCTCTCCCCCTTTCCCCTGATAGTTTTTATAACACAAGGAGAAAAAAGAGCTTGGTGTCCCAGGGGCCTTTTCTTAACCACTAAAGATTTTTTTCTACAATATGCAGACTTCACTGCTGCATCAGATTATCAAGTCAGAGAACAGATGCTGCGATATTGAAAGAACTGATTTGTCTTGATTTATGTTCACCTATATTGGTAGAAACATAAAAGTAAGGTAATTACAGTTATGTAACAAGCAAAACAGGAAAAAAAAAAGTGTTGCCATGTCCATGATTATTTTAGTTCTCTAATGCACCTAGTGGGAATGGGATGGGAGAGAACCACAACTGCTTTGCTACCTTGTAGATTAAATTCTGTCTAGATTTTCTTGACCAGAGTACTTCAGCTCTTGGGTCCTTAAGCTCCTTTCTCCCTCCCCCACCACCAGTCAGAATGATTATCTCCATATCCTGACTCAGTGCCTGCAGCTGAGGAATGCAGGCAATGTGCTTTGAATAGTTTGGTTTCAGGTAGCATCAAAGTTGCTTTTTCGTTATTCTTCGACTGTCTTGGAAGAGATCTAAGTCCCTGTTTGTATGCCAGAAGTTAACCAAATGTATGGCAGGTTTACTGTCAGAGTGTGGTGGGACAGCTGCTTTATGCACTTAAAGGTGGTTTTGACTTTCTGTGAAAAATGAGCCCCTGGAATTTGCAATGCTTCTCCAGTCTAATGTGCAGCCCTGCTATGCTGATGCTTTCTCCACAGCAAAAGTGGTGGAACATCATGTTAACACTGCTGAACAAAAAATGAATAGTGAAATTGCCAGTTAAGCTCTGGGATAAGATGCAGGAGGAATACAATAATTTTGCTGCCATGACTGTGACACATGTTTTCTCCGTTCTCAAAAGCTCTGACAAGTCTTAATATGCTATAATTTGGTACTCAGTTCAAAGATCACTTTGCATGTGTCTGGTAAAACTTTTGTAATCTTGATCTTAAATGACTTGTTTGTTAGTGGGCAGAAGGAGCCTTCTCTGGTATTGTATAGGCACTAGATTAGAAATTTGAAAATAACGGTACTCTTCTTCTGCCATGTTATTTGCAGAGAAGAGCATTATCCACACATCCCAGAATCTCTGAGCCACTGCCGGTTCCATGCAAGACACATTCAACCATGTGTGACCGCACCAGTGTTTGCCACTGACCTTACATAGTCTGTCTGTGGACTGCTTTTCAATCATCAATGGTTAATACATCCCTGGAATAAAACATTTACAGCATAATCCCAATTTAAATGTGCATCACTGCTATTTCATCAATAGTTATTTAGGCAGTAATTCATCAGTCTTTCCTTGTTTTACAAAACATTCAAGAATGTACTTAATTATGGGTGTATGGTTTCATGCTGTTGGCTTCCAGTGAACTTTAATACATAACTGAGTTCAGCAGTGTACTGCTGTAGGAGTGCAGAAGAGGGCTGTAGCAGGGCCAAGACTCTGACAATCTTATATAAGCTACAAGTTACGTGAATAGGAAATATTTGCATCAACTGATTTTTCTTTTAGCATTCATTGGGAGCATGGGGCATTCATGCAAGATAGTTTGCTTTCTAAAAGATAAATCTAGGAGTCAATGAATGTTAGTTAACAGTGCTTTCAGAATTGCTCTTAATTTTTGCTTTTTTTCTATCTGAAGTGAGTAATCTAACCTGTCCAGGATGTTGCCTTAACTGACATGTTTCAACCTCACAACATCTGGGAAATGATATTTCACCACTTTCTTGGTGTTTCTGCAAGCTATGTGTTGCTGCTGCTGAAGCTGGAATTAAGTTTTTGTGTTGTATTGCAAGTTATATTTAACCTGGTTGTAAAGGGACCTGAGGCATTTGTTTGCGCTGGCAGCTGGCACCCCATAACCCTGTGGAGGTCTATGGTGGATCACTTGCAGGTAGAGTCTTGGTTTGATAATAATGGCAAGGGCTGTTGGAAAATTTATCTTAATCAAAGCAAGGGACGGCAGGTTAAAGACATACATGCACTAAGCTATATTAAGTCCTTATAATGTGTTTTTCATCTGTTAGCATCTATGAGGTTATATATATATATACTTTCAGATGTGTTGGTATTCCCTCTGCCCTGGTAATAGAAAGCATACAGCACTGTATCAGTGCCGTATCCTCTCCAGGAATAACTACCGAGTGTTTACAAAAGGTGCATTTCTGAACCAAGGATCTTGGAAAAATCCCAGGTATTTTTATCATCTACTAGAGAAGCAAATGTTCATTTGCATCACAAACCTACAGGCTTTTGCCATTCTGCCTCAATCTTCAATGGCACATCTAAGGCATTAAGTAGTCCAAAACCTGAGTGTGGTTTCACCTTTCCCTCCATTTCTGAATGCTACTGATAATGATTATTTTTTCCCATTTGATGATCCAGGCTGTTCTAATTTCCCCCAGGGGAGCTAAAGCCCCTTTTTGGCATTGTATTCAGTGGAAAGTAATCCATTTTCAAAGTGGTGCTCGGTAACCTCAGAAGACAGGGTGGAATGCTGGGCCCAGGCTGATGCAGAGGGGTTGATTAAAGATTCCTATCTCACATATTGTTTTAATTTTTGTTTTCTCCTACTTTGCTTCTGTCTGAATCCTAGATTGCGAGGTTAAATACAAACTTTAACCAGCAAGTTGTTCCTTTAGCCTTGTGTGACTCTTTTGCTTCCTTCACTATTGAAGTAATGACTCTTTGAATGTTTTAAATTGTAATTCAATCAAAAAAAAACAACAAAACTCAACCTCAACAAAAAAATATTTCAAAGCAAAAGGAAAAAGTCCTCAACATTGAAACAGAACATGGTTATAGTGGGAGAATTTGTTGGTTTCAAAAGAGAAGTCCAGGAGGGCTGCTTTTCCTCCACAGTGCCAGTGACATGTTAAAACACACCTATGGCTGGTAAGTCATTTTGAGAGAATTTTTAAAGAAATAATATTCTACATCACAAAAAGCCCTGAAGTTGTTTTTACAAGTGAATCATTTAAGGTATGCAGGGATAAATACTTAATTTAAGAACTTGATTATATCTGTCTCCATTTCACAAATCATTTATGCATGTGTTCAATTGAAGTCATAAGTGGAGCAGAGAATACCATATAACTTGAATTTGTGCTCTTCCTCAGGAAATTTCTCACCAAATCTTATGCAAGTGGATTTTAAAGTGGGTCTACAAATACATACCAAATAATGGTTTGTAGTCATGGGGAAAGTTACAAATGTAAAAGGCTCAACAGAAATGAATAGGGCTAAAATAGTAGCAGTAATAATGCTAAAGCCCAAAGCATGTTGGATTAAATCACTACCAAAACTATACAGTGTACTCTCTTGTTGAGAATCCTGGAAATACAATGTATTTGCATCTCATTAACTTTTCTGGTATTATATTGTGTGTATGGATGACCTAGTCTGAGTTAACATTGCTTGATGATGAGAATGAATATGCAGTCCGATCTTTGTGAGCAGGTGGTTGTGTTGTAGAATTTTTCAGCACTTTATTCCTGGGAGGTTTGGAAGTGATCTAGAAAAAGTGGCCAGTTAAAAAGAATTAAGCACCCAGGAAAAATTACACAACTTGGGCACCTACTGTGATTAATTCCACAGGTTGTCGCCTTCTCAATCTGCTGCCTTGATAGTTAAAACTCTTGCATCCTCTGACAAATAAGACCCTACCTACAGCTAACATACAAGCTATTCAGATTGTATTGTCTCTCTTACCTCAAGCCACAACTCTCGTAAGCCTTTGGTTTTGCTCTGTTTTCAGGTCT